AATTTAAAAAAACCCCCCTTTTTTGTGGGAAATGTCCCGGGGGGGGTTTGGGGGGGGGGGGGTCAGAGGAGGCCTGACGCCCCCCCCCCCCCCCCCCTTCGATTTTTGAAAAAATCACACCAATGGTCCCCTCTTAAAATAATAATTTTGAATAGCAAAATCATAATTCTAAATACCAAATGGCACTGCTCGCCCTCTAAATACCAATTTTTTCGGGGCCCTTCGGTGACCCCTGAATGTCGACTGTACCTTGCTGAAGTGAAGTCGTTCTTATTTCTGCATCTCAATGTTTTAAACCAAATTTAAATCAATTTTTAAAAAGGCTTAAAAGATGAAAATATTCAAATTTATCATTATGCCTTATAACTTAACGATGAACATATTCAAGTTGATCATAATGTTTAATAAAACACATTATACTTCTGTCCCAAAAGAAAACCTACCCTCTACCAGGGCGACATTGATTTTTCACAAGATATTCACAGATATGCCTTTAGGTAAATAGACATTCATTTCATTCTCGGGCTTTTTCAAATTTTCCCCTATAAAATCTGCCACCCTGGTAGAGGGTAAAGAAACCCCATGTTTCATCCAAGTCGTTCCAACCCCGTGAACAATTGTCGATGTAGACAGCAAACACGTGCTAACATGACGGTGTGAATTATTTCTTTATTAATGAGGAATATCTGTTTGATCGACATTCCGACAAGAAATTAATTATAATACATTCTCTGGAGATAGTCATGTGAATGGTGCCAATCGGTGGATAATTATCAACTCGTTAATCCGTTGTTTATTTTGGGTTGCACAACGCCATAGGCCCCATTCCCACAGACTCCATCAGTCTGCTAGATCGATCCAACTTCGCGGGGACTCTTGCTGAATGCAATCAGTTTAACAGACTAACGTTTCCTACTGGCGTAAAGTAAAATATGTTAACGCTGGTAATTATATGAATACGTTGGTAACAAGAGGAGGCGTGTCATTCATTTAAACTGACTGCGCTCAGCGAGAGTTCCAGCAAAGAAGGGTCGATCTTTTTAGAAAGGTGTCTTCAAATGGGGTCAAAGACACATACATGTGATCGTCTCAACGCGGCACATGGCTGGCAACGCGATGTATGCTAGTGTCTTTATATATTTATTCACTAAAGCATGGTATGATTTAGTTAAAGAATAAAAAAAGTCAATATGGCAATACTTTTCCTCTGTAAGATTTCCATCTGTCATAACAAATGAATCATAATTAAGATCAAAATCAAGCTCTGCTCATGACCAAGAACTGTTTTATGCAAAACTGGGTTTATTCATGTCACGCTTGAGTAAATATTAAACCACTGTAATACATAAAATATGGAGTTCTGTTCGTAGATCCATTATTAATTTGGCTATAAGGGGTAGACGCAGTAGAATAAAGACATTTTATTTGAATAACAATACAGTAGACGGTAGCAATTCAACTATAAGTATAATATATGAGCACAGGGATGTAGAAATAGCGAAGTGTTGTCTGGCTATGCTGTTTTGGGTTAAGGGGTAGTGGGTAGGTGGTAGTGGAGCACCGTAAGTAGCGGGAAATGTCTCTTGTGCACTCTCGTAGATCCGACATTGGTAGTGTAAGTAGGACCTAAACATCACTATAAGCCAGTTCCTCGTCTGGTTCGGGCGTTATAAACTCTTTCACCACAGCAACCGGGATACGGAACGCAACCCGCCTCTTTTCTTTCTTGGATGATTCAGCAGCGTTTTTCTCATGGGATATGTCATGGGACCGGACCGTCTTGTCCCAGTTGAGTTTGTTCCGTTGGTCCAGAACCTCTATGGGCTCATAGTCGGTCCCATGGCGCGCCATGCGAGTACCCGCATGAAGGCGCCCGGACCTGTGAGAAACCAGAATTCCATGGCGATGTCGACCTCCCCCACACCCGTCTGCTTTATTCTCCGCAGGAGGTCCATCGACAGCTGAGAGCTGGCTATTAAACACATCGTTGGGATTCGCAGGCTTAATGCGCGAGTGAATCGGTGAGATGTAGAAACTGCACTGTCTTTCGCGCATGCGCTGTTTCCGCGTTGACCACGTGGCTGGATCGCTCTCCTCCGACTGGTCAGAACGCTTCCCCCATATTTTCTCCTTTTCTTTCTCGCGCAGAGTATGGACGTCGTATTTGCCGGAAAAACTCATCTTTTTGAGTCTGTTAATGGCAAACATCATATTATCGTGCTCCTGTTGGATAAGACTCTGTCTCATTTTTCCGACGGAGTCGAGGTACTCCTTTTGGCGTTCGTGGACTCGGTTGTAAGCATCTAACCAGTCCGGTTGTCGAGTACGAATGGTCTCGTAACGGTCATGTGCGGGTACGGGGGTCTTAGGCCGTTTTGTTGCCATTTACTTTGTACTGAGTTCGGCGGTGTTTCAAATTAAGTCTAGTTGGTTGACATTTCTCTTGTGACAAAGCTACGAAAACAAAAAGAAGCGCTTCCTGAAAGAAAAACACGTAGACATGATTTCAGATATTTTTTATCTATTGTCTTGAGAATCTTCATTTTGTGCATACATGTACATGTACACAACATTTAACTTTTCCCTTTGGAACATCGTTTGTCTTTTTAATGGCCATAGGCTTATGTAAGAAATAAACGATGGTTTTATCATTTTTTTAAGTTTCTTAAAATTTAATATACAGAGAAGATCAATATATTTCTTCCATATTAAGAACAAAGGGGTTCAAACTTTAAAGACACTCACTGTTTCAAACTGATGACATTCTCCTTACATCAGATTATTTTGCACTCAGATGTCTTCCTGGCAATTGTCCACAACTTAAATTTTACCTGCTCAAGTCAATGAAAATCAAATCACTTCGTGGTAAAGATATCTGCGTCGTCTTGGGATTCCCATCAGCGTGAAAAGCTCAACTCTATCAGTCAAACAAATCTCAGCAGCCAAAATTTGAAATTTTTTCACAGAATGTTTTTAACGCTGGTTACTTTTATATCGTGGTGCTATGCTATTTAAACGGTCTGATATTTTCAGTTTACTCCAGAATCTGCCATACAAGGGAATTAATCTCCATATTATGCAATGTAATCGCGTTGTTAAGTACACGTCGTCATGGAGACCAGATAAAGAATAAAAGACTTTGCCTGTTGGGCTGCTTGCTTTGCTTGCTGTACTGAGAGACACCCTGCGTGTAACACGATAGATCTGCCAAGACTTAAATTTTCCTCCCCGTCTTCAAATCAGAAATAAAAGAAGACTACAGTTATAGCGAATGGCAATTAACTTCAAGTATAAATGATCACGATCTTTGTACCCGGGGTTTGAAGGATACTCATGGCCTATTCAAATAACTGTAGAGAGCTGATAACGAAGAAAAGATCGGTTCAGTTAAGGAGAATGCTGTGTTGATCACACATAAAAAAAAAACCTGAGTCTAGAGCTCTAGGGTGATTGGCCTGTATAAAAAAATGAAAAAGAATGAAAAATTGTGTTCAGATTGTTTAATAAACCTATTTACATTTATTTGTCCATATGTACAAGTTTTTTAAAGGCGAGAGAGATAGAAGGGGGGAAGTTAGAGAGGGGGGGGAGGGACTCTTCGAATTAACTTCGAATTCCACTGTTGTTCAGATAAAGAAAACGATATCTTTCGAAAACAACATTTCTTTAAATAAAGAGAGAAGTTAACATAATTAAGCTACATAAATAGGCTTACAAGCATCCCAAAGGTTGACAAGTTAAAATAAGTAAACACAATTATGCTACCTGTATACATGCATCTTAACAGTTGCAAGTTAAATGTTCACAGTTTAAAACGTGTGGAAATATATATCCTCTTCACCTGAACTAGTCTCACCCTCACTGTTGGGTTTGTACACGCAACTTTCAAATAAGGCAACTTGCGACGTCATTTACAACTAAACCAGGTCAATTACGGTTTATGACGCTGTGGGTGATGTTCCAGGTGTAGTTATTGCCATATATAAGCCAGTTTTCCTTTATGTCACTTACGGTTTATTAAGTACCACCTGTACACACTACATTCCTTTTACAATCTCATAGTTCTATTACCATTGTCTATATAAAGCGGCCAAAGAATGAGAAAATACATATTACCTCCCCAACTATTTAATCAATATAAAATAATAAAGCAGATCTATACAACAAACTGTAATTTACATCATCAGCGTCTAATGGTTGAAGTTCTAAATGTGTGAGATATTTTCCGTCAAACTGGCAGCACCAATGTCATTTTCATAAATGCTATCAACAACGTAACAGTAAGAACCGTCTCTCTGTCCCAGGGGGATGCCGTGGTCTTTTGAACCGATGTACGAGTAATCATACGTTTTATTTTCTAAATCACCACAGGAAACATGGGGCTCATGCTCGATTTGATTATAATATCCTTGACCTGGAACTTCTCCTTGTTCCTGACCTTTACCTTCACCTTGACCTCTAAGTAAAGACTGGTAATTATGAGCGGTATGATCAGAGGGAAGAATAGACTCATACTGGTTGGAATAACTATGTACATCTATTTGTCCTTGGCCTCGGTCCTGATCACAAACTCTAATTTTACCTTCATTCTGACTTTTTAGTAAAAACTGGTAATCAACTTCACCTTCACTGCGACCTTCACCTTCAGTTTGACCTTCACCGCGTGCTCTGAGCAAAGCCTGGTAGTTATTATTACACACTTGGTTGTGAGAGGCGGTTACTTCATGTAGCTCAAGATCATTTTGAAACTGTCCTTTCTGATCTTCATAGTTTCCGTGACCTTGACCTCCAAATCCAGATTCGTCACGACCTTTATTTTTACCATGGACTATGAGGTCTGCCTTTCGACACCCGCAACATTTGGAAATGCAGAAAATGCCAACAAAAAGAAGCATCAAAAAACAAAACCCAGCTATTATGGGGACCACAATTAATAAATGTGGATCTAGAGAAATTATGCCGGGTTCATTTGTTGCTGATGCTGTGGTGGGGTTAGTATTACTTGATGTGACGTCAGCTCCTATTCTGATTGATGCAATATTGGAAACCGTGGTGTGGGAAATGTTGATATCAGTCGTTCGGTCCATCATGAGACTGGCTGTTTCATGGGAAGTGCAGTTATCTGGCATTATGCTACATTTGGATAAGGGGTTTGCCCTACACTCTAACGCAATCCGAAAACCCAGAGAGAAAGACGTTGCTAGCTTGACGCTACCATTTACGTATAACCACTGCAGAACGCACGGGCACTGTCTCGCGGCAACGATAGGATTCATATCGAGAAAAACATATCGCAGATTGGGCAAAATTTTAAAAGTACAGTAGTCAAGTTCAGCAATTTGATTTTCTCGAAGATCCAGACCCCGCAAACTTGTCCCGATGTGAACAAATGCTGTAGGTGAGACGGTCGCAATCTCATTGCCATTCAGCGTCACAACCGCCAGTGCCCTCCCAGCACCTTGGAAATCCCGTGCTAGTAAGGAGCGGATTTGATTAAAACTAACATGCAATTCAATCAGAGAAGACAACTCGGGAAGCAGTGATTCTCCGGGTATATTTATCAGTTCATTATAGTCTAGATAGAGGTATTCTAGAGTCTCTAAGTTAGAGAATGCATTCTTTTCAATCGTCCGTATTCGGTTATGTCGAAGTTGTAGACGTGACACGTTTAGTAGTCGCATGTTTTGGAATGCGTTTGCGGGGAGGATGGTTAGGCTGTTATTATCCAGAGATAGCCTGCTAACTGTACCTTGTGTTTCCGAACTAAAAATAACAGGTATGGTAGTTAAGCCTAGGTTTATGCAGTCTACATCGGTCACAGGTGGGTAGTTGTTGACATCGCAACTACACACGCTTGTCACTGATGAACAAACATTCCCACAGGCTTCCTGAATCAGTATGAGAAACAACAGGAACGATTTTATCTTCATCCTTCAGGCTTGTATCTTGGATGCAAGTGTTTTTGTTTTTTTCACGATAGCTGAAAAGGAAATGAAGTAATTCTTATTATGAAAGACAATGGGCAGTTTATAAAGTTCTCTGGCTGTTGAAATGATCTAACCTGTCCAGGTTAAATAAGATTTAGCTGCACTACCAACGCCGTAAAAGAGAAATACATTTATAGCAATCAATGCGACCCGCAACCTGAACCTTAAAGGCCTTTTAGACTCAGACTGTTATGTATTAAGTTTAAATCTCATTAGTTACATTAATTAATGAGATTTAAACCAAAATTAAAGATAACACCTCTGTAAAGGTCATATAAAGTTGCGTTTAATGAATAGTTTGATTGGAATTTGTATTTAATACTATGCACTTTACATTTTTCTACATAGTATAAATATCAAGTATAATGTGAAACAAAACAACAAATGTCTGTGTTGTCACATGCATAGTCACCAGTAGGCCAACGTAGTTCAACATCTTTAGTAGACAAACCGATTAACTATTAACGCTCTTCACGTCGTTGGATGCCAATTTCACTTACAAACTGTAGCCTACAATCCTCTCTTGGATATACAAAGACTTACGTTTAACTTATTCTTGCAGAGTTGGTATTCTTATAGACAAACTGCAATGTTCTTCCTCTCTCTCCTGTCGTTTAGCTTGGAGTCTGTGTACGCAATACATTTTAACAAAATCCACTTCACTGTCACGTGCCCCTATTCCGAAACAAAGACGTGAGACCTCACCGCATCCGGGAACTATTTTTAGCGCAAACAAGGAAATCTGAGTGCAACTTTACAAAATAAAGGCTACAAGAAGTATGTGCTTATACAGTGTATGTAAACAGCAAAGTGAAGTAGTTTAACGTGACAGTCAGAAATAAATACTCACGATTTTTTTTTTTTTCAGTTGAGTCATGACTCGCAAGCATCTAAAAAGACGCAGTGGGAACTAGACCACCTCATTCTCGCGGGAAGCAGGTGCATGGGTTTGTGTCAATTTAGATAAAATTTATCAATGACGTGGTTCAATAAGTGGAAAGGTGTGTGTGTGTGTGTGTGTGTGTGTGCGTGTGTGTGTCTTGGGTTGGGAGGAGGGGTTTAGACCCTTTTAACAGGGAGAGCAAGCGTAGGACCGCTATATAAAATAAATAAAGGAAAGAATTTAATCAACACTGATGGATTTTACTAAAGAGGAGGCAATACGAGGAAAAAACGAGTGGAAGGGGGATTAAGAAAGGATGTTTATGTTGTCCTGCTGCGCAGACAACCTTGTAGTTTTCAATTTCCAGTATTTTTTATGGTAAATAAGATAATTAATCAATGGATATATGCTCTCGTTATATACAAATTAAAAACCTAATGCACTCATTATGGAATAATTGGACGGGCTAATGCCTGTTGTTGGATCAAATAAAATTTACGTACAATGTCACGTTTACATTCGTCATTACAAAAAGTGAACATTTTGGTTTAACTGGTCATTTTTTTAATCATTAAACATGGTGACAAAATTAGCATGCCCATATGCACTCTGAATAAATACGCTTAAATAAAACGTGTTTAAAATAAATATTCTACTATTGCAAATAATACATTAATACTGGGTATTTATAACAGTTTCTTTATTATCAGAATCAAAATATTAATGATAAAACAGCATATTTAAACGCATAATTTTCACGAGCTGCCCAAATTCAGCGGAGTAGCGGAGAGAAATTCGGGAGGCGGTCGCCGTTCGGATACACGCATTGCTTCTGGCTGGGGAAAGCTCCCATAACTAGAGCGTCCTAGCGCTCCACGGTACCTGGTCACTGGCGCACGCTGGGGGAAGTACTTCTCAGAACCGGGGAGCTTTTCGTGGCCCTTACCTGGAATACATTAGATATAAGCTGTATTAAAAATAACTACCATTAATAATCGGTTATTTACACTGGTACTGCCATAGAAGGCTTTATAATTTAGTGATACACGATATGACCCTATTTATATAACGAATGGTACTATTTATATTTATAACGTACGCTGCCACCGGACATATGCTGCAATAATCTATATTATTATACTGCGTTCTATAATATCAGTGAGTTGTGTTTAAGTTTTTTTAGATATATTTCTTTTTACTTTTGATTGATTGTTAAATAAAATACGGAAAATGTGGTGATTATACGGGTACGTTAGAAACAAGATGGAAGGAGGCGTGTTAATCTGTTAATCTGATAACATTCAGCAAGACTCCCTGTAGAGTAAGTACGCACTAGCTAGGACGATAGGTTCATTGTGAACTCACCCATCATGGCGTTAATCATACATGTACCATAACCCTCAGGTCTGTTTACTGCTGTACTGTCGTCTTTAAAACACTGGTGTACAGCCCCCAGGTACGTGACGTCATTCTCAGCTGAAAGAACGACAGAAAATGGTGCAAAGGCATTCACAATGTAAGTTTTCTACATCTCAAGGGGCATGTTGACTTGGCTTCTGTATGTTTCAAACTTGATTTGTTAACTTTGATACACTGCCCTTGACTGCAAAAGGGCATAAAATATTGTAAAGTACAGTACATAGGTATGCATTGGTAGAAAAATCGTTGAAGCCGAATATGATATTTTTGTAACGACCCAGAAAAATAGACATGCATATGTTATGCTGAATACTTAAAAGTTTTGTTGAAATATTGATAAACGCAGTACAAAGACATTCACACTGTAAGTTTTACATATGTCACGCTGACTTGGCCCCTGTACATGTATGTTTCAGATAAGACTTATGTTGTCATCTTAAAAACACCGTCCTTGTCCGCAAAGAATCACGTCACATAAAATATTATGAAATACAGTACATGAGTGTTCAATCCGCTGCACTGGTTAAAATATCGTTGAAGTCATACATGTAATTTTTTGTAAGTACGATCCAGAAAAATATAAATGTATATAATAAGATAAAGACTTTTAAAAATTGTTGAAATTGATTCTAAAAGTTTAAAAATACGGAGGTTATTGAAAAGGATGATTTAAGGATTAATTAAGTCTGCAAGATCAAACGGAAAACTCCCCTCTTTCATATTCTTGTGCATATTTCTTACCATAAAAATAGCAGTCCCCATTTTTGTTACAAGGGACATTTTTAATGCACTTCCCTGTCCAGGCTTGGCACAGCGTGCGGCCGTCAGGGTCGTGACAGTCCAGTGACGTGGTACAGGGGACCTGAATTAATAACAGTAAATTTCCAATCTGTGCCTTAACATTTTCAGCTCACTGGTTCCTACGACTAAGACTATTATGGTTCAGAAATCTACGCTGCCAACCCTCTACAAGGAATCAGCTGAGTGAAGACGTCAACTACGTGAGCACATTCTCTATGGACAGTGCAGAAAAGTGAACAAAACTAGTCTGAGAATTAACTGAATATCTGTAAAAATTATTCCATGACCCTGATAGAGTACAGTGTGTACACAGCATACAATGAACACGATGAAAACTATGCTTAGTGAAATACAATGTCAAATATTTGCAATCGTTAAATAAAGTGAGTACAGTGGAATAAGCGATTATTTACAGCAGTATTACACTTTTCGGGAAGTATTAAAGATACATGCACTAAACGGACCCAAAACTACAGCTGGGGACCTGATAATTAACATAAAGCAGCAGAGGAGTTTCAATACAGAACTACCAATAAAAGTTACGTGCTATAATAAGGAGTTAAACTAATACAATCTTAGAATGTGCTTAATTAATAAGCCAAATTATAAAACTTACCGCAATTGCTGAAAAGATACAGGTAACAAAAACGAAAATTAACAAAGCAGTATTTGCCATTTTAGCGGAGGGACCGATCTACCCAGTAAGCGCTGTTGAAAACTGTAGCTCACACTGCATGAAAAAACACCTTTTATCGCCTTTCATTCATCTACAAAATGTTATCGAAAGATGATCCATCATCTTTCATCATCCTTTCCTGACGAAAAGGTCATCTTTCACCTTTCATTTGTAAAAGGTCATCTTTTTATCAACTTTTACGTCTCGGAAAGACCGTCATTCACATTTTCATTAACTTTCAGTTTTCAAAAGTTCAACTATCACCTTTTACACTGCGAAAGGCCACCTTACATTCCACCTTTTGTTAACTGGAAAGGTCTCATTTTGTTAACTTTTATTTTCTGAAAGCTTAAGACTAATTTTATAATAATGCGTGGTGATCTTTTGTATGTATACTATTTATTTTATGTACAGGACTTAATTCCGTATCTTACATTAAGCGCATTATGGAAAAAGCGAATACTTTTGCAAATTGTTTGCATGATGAAATGTTTTGCACTTTGATTAAAGTATTTAACTGATAGATTGAATATGGTGATTTGCATTTCGGAGAAATAATTATGCAATCTTGCATAGGCTGGAGTNAATACATTTTAACAAAATCCACTTCACTGTCACGTGCCCCTATTCCGAAACAAAGACGTCCGACCTCACCGCATCCGGGAACTATTTTTAGCGCAAACCAGGAAAGTATGTGCTTATACAGTGTATGTAAATAGCAAAGTGAAGTAGTTTAACGTGACAGACAGAAATAAATACTCACGATTTTATTTTATTTTTTTTTTCAGTTGAGTCATGACTCGCAAGCATCTAAAAAGACGCAGTGGGAACTAGACCACCTCATTCTCGCGGGAAGCAGGTGCATGGGTTTGTGTCTGAGGCTTCAACAATTTAGATAAAATAACGCGGGGGATGGGGGGGGGGGCTTAGCCCCTCTGCTCTCTTCGCTTATCACTGACGTGGTTCAATAAGTGGAAAGGTGTGTGTGTGTGTGTGTGTGTGTGTGTGTGTGTGTGTCTTGGGTTGGAAGGAGGGGTTTAGACCCTTTTAACAGGGAGAGCAAGCGTAGGACCGCTATATAAAATAAATAGAGGAAAGAATTTAATCAACACTGATGGATTTTACTAAAGAGGAGGCAATACGAGGAAAAACGAGTGGAAGGGGGATTAAGGAAGGATGTTTATGTTGTCCCGCTGCGCAGACAGCCTTGTAGTTTTCAATTTCCAGTATTTTTTATGGTAAATAAGATAATTAATCAATGGATATATGCTCTCGTTATATACAAATTAAAAACCTAATGCACTCATTATGGAATAATTGGACGGGCTAATGCCTGTTGTTGGATCAAATAAAATTTACGTACAATGTCACGTTTACATTCGTCATTACAAAAAGTGAACATTTTGGTTTTACTGGTCATTTTTTTAATCATTAAACATGGTGACAAAATTAGCATGCCCATATGCACTCTGAATAAGTACGCTTAAATAAAACGCGTTTAAAATAAATATTCTACTATTGCAAATAATACATTAATACTGGGTATTTATAACAGTTTCTTTATTATCAGAATCAAAATATTAATGATAAAACAGCATATTTAAACGTATAATTTTCACGAGCTGCCCAAATTCAGCGGAGTAGCGGAGAGAAATTCGGGAGGCGGTCGCCGTTCGGATACACGCATTGCCTCTGGCTGGGGAAAGCTCCCATAACTAGAGCGTCCTAGCGCTCCACGGTACCTGGTCACTGGCGCACGCTGGGGGAAGTACTTCTCAGGACCGGGGAGCTTTTCGTGGCCCTTACCTGGAATAAATTAGATATAAGCTGTATTAAAAATAACTACCATTAATGATCGGTTATTTACACTGGTACTGCCATAGAAGGCTTTATAATTTAGTGATACACGATATGACCCTTTTTATATAACGAATGGTACTATTTATGTTTATAACGTACGCTGCCACCGGACATATGCTGCAATAATCTATATTATCATACTGCGTTCTATAATATCAGTGAGTTGTGTTTAAGTTTTTTTAGATATATTTCTTTTTACTTTTGATTGATTGTTAAATAAAATACGGAAAATGTGGTGATTATACGAGTACGTTAGAAACAAGATGGAAGGAGGCGTGTTAATCTGTTAATCTGATAACATTCAGCAAGAGTCCCCATAGAGTAAGTACGCACTAGCTAGGACGATAGGTTCATTGTGAACTCACCCATCATGGCGTTAATCATACAGGTGCCGTAACCCTCAGGTCTGTTTACGGATGAGCTGTCGTCTTTAAAACACTGGTGTACAGCCCCCAGGTACGTGACGTCATTCTCAGCTGAAAGAACGACAGAAAATGGTGCAAAGGCATTCACAATGTAAGTTTTCTACATCTCAAGGGGCATGTTGACTTGGCTTCTGTATGTTTCAAACTTGATTTGTTAACTTTGATACACTGCCCTTGACTGCAAAAGGGCATAAAATATTGTAAAGTACAGTACATAGGTATGCATTGGTAGAAAAATCGTTGAAGCCGAATATGATATTTTTGTAACGACCCAGAAAAATAGACATGCATATGTTATGCTGAAGACTTAAAAGTTTTGTTGAACAGAAAATATTGATAAACGCAGTACAAAGACATTCACACTGTAAGTTTTCCATATGTCACGCTGACTTGGCCCCTGTACATGTATGTTTCAGATAAGACTTATGTTGTCATCTTAAAAACACCGTCCTTGTCCGCAAAGAATCACGTCACATAAAATATTATGAAATACAGTACATGAGTGTTCAATCCGCTGCATTGGTTAAAATATCGTTGAAGTCATACATGTAATTTTTTGTAAGTACGATCCAGAAAAATATAAATGTATATAATATGATAAAGACTTTTAAAAATTGTTGAAATTGATTCTAAAAGTTTAAAAATACGGAGGTTATTGAAAAGGATGATTTAAGGATTAATTAAGTCTGCAAGATCAAACGGAAAACTCCCCTCTTTCATATTCTTGTGCATATTTCTTACCATAAAAATAGCAGTCCCCATTTTTGTTACAAGGGACATTTTTAATGCACTTCCCTGTCCAGGCTTGGCACAGCGTGCGGCCGTCAGGGTCGTGACAGTCCAGTGACGTGGTACAGGGGACCTGAATTAATAACAGTAAATTTCCAATCTGTGCCTTAACATTTTCAGCTCACTGGTTCCTACGACTATTATGGTTCAGAAAGCTACGCTGCCAACCCTCTACAAGGAATCAGCTGAGTGAAGACGTCAACTACGTGAGCACATTCTCTATGGACAGTGCAGAAAAGTGAACAAAACTAGTCTGAGAATTAACTGAATATCTGTAAATATTATTCCATGACCCTGATAGAGTACAGTGTATACACAGCATACAATGAACACGATGAAAACTATGCTTAGTGAAATACAATGTCAAATATTTGCAATCGTTGAATAAAGTGAGTACAGTGGAATAAGCGATTATTTACAGCAGTATTACACTTTTCGGGAAGTATTAAAGATACATGCACTAAACGGACCCAAAACTACAGCTGGGGACCTGATAATTAACATAAAGCAGCAGAGGAGTTTCAATACAGAATTACTAATAAAAGTTACGTGCTATAATAAGGAGTTAAACTAATACAATCTTAGAATGTGCTTAATTAATAAGCCAAATTATAAAACTTACCGCAATTGCTGAAAAGATACAGGTAACAAAAACGAAAATTAACAAAGCAGTATTTGCCATTTTAGCGGAGGGACCGATCTACCCAGTAAGCGCTGTTGAAAACTGTAGCTCAGCGTTAAATGCGAACTTCGTTTATAGGCCTTCTGCTCACATTTATAGACAATGTTCTAATACAATGACATAAACTCGATTAGGAAGTTATTTCCCCTCATTTGCATTGACAAGTCTGGAAACATTAAAGTAATAAAAAATAATAATAATGTCTATTATGTAGCCTACATGCTGGTGTTCAACGAAGTCTATAATTTCTATCAGGGCATTTCCTGGCTATCCGGAGCTTAAGGACAAGGACGGATCCAGGATGATTGCTTATGTTACAGGACTGAGGGGGGCATGGATAAAAATGGTTGCCGCAGCTTTTTTTTTTTTTCCGGCAAATAAACCAGAAAACAAGGGCAAATTAATGTTTTAGCATGTTAAAACATGTTGGGTACAGGGATGAAAAAACTAACTTGGTTTTTTCTTGTTTCACTGAGGAGGAAGATACAGAAAGTGGTTCCTCAGAGATTAATTGAGGGACACGTGTCAGGTGCAACATTCTTCTCCGCCATGACAATGCTGGAAGGCGACATCAGTAGATAGGCTAGGGCCTATATATATATTATAAGAGCCGTAGTAACATAAAACGGCACCGACATATGTTCAAACAGCCGTAGAAGAGAGATGATCGAGTTTCTATGGACCTCCTTCTATGAAACTCAAGGTGATCAAGTGCAATTACCCAAATCCTGCTTGTTGGATATTTTACTCATATATTAATTACATTATATTGTATTAGGCCTATAGCCTATAGGGCCTACGTCCCTATGTGGTTTCCAAACGCGTGTTGGGGTCTTCATGCCTAACTGTAGGTTAATTATTAAAGTTGCTTTTCATTTCATGTGACCCCCCCCCCCAAAATCAGCTAGAAAGGTGGATTAATATAGATATAACGCTGTATAGGCCTATAAACACAGATTGCACCTTTTATAAACTCATAACCCCCCTCCTTAAATATTCAAATTATATTTGATGTACAAGCTGTTGTTAAAGTTTGATTATGTGAGAAAATGGGCTCACCGACCCAAAGTATTTATGTTCAATAAAGTCGTCTTTAAGCTGAAAGGACCAAGCAGAAAAAGTGATAAGAACTATGGCCAAGAGAACACGTGTTGGTGTAGGTTCGAAAGCGAGGCTTGTATTTGGAATGACTGCTTGGAGAGTATTTTGATTAATTTTCGTATTGTAACATTTTAAACGATATGGGGTAAATGGTGTTATGCATGTTTATACGATAATTAATAATGTACTTGAAATTATTGTTTAGAAATAAAATGAATAGACTTTTAGTATTTTAATTATAAGAAATGATATAAGATAGGTATACCGGAAGTTCTGTCAAAGCGAGGTTAATCCGCCATACTACTTCATGTGGTGACACCGGCTTTTTGTTTTGAATCAAACATTCAGCGATTACGACGTTTCTGGAGAACCAAAAATAATGAGAATGCAGATCACGTCAGCAGGTAATATTCCCTATCTTTTATATATCGTGGTTTTACGCATATTTTACTATTTAAGAAAATACTTGGTTTTAAATACAGCGGTAGAATTGTGCGTCTGTTCATTGTGTGCTGAGTCACTGTCAGGTTCTAGATTTATTTCTAATATTGTGAGTGAAATGCTTGAATTTTAGTATTTATACAGTGATGAAACCCATGACAATACGTTCAACATTTTTCACTTTAATCCATTTGTTTTTATTTTGAACAGAAATATATATGGTGTATTTTTTTTTTTTGGCAACAACATCATTGAAGATAGTTTTGAAATTATAATATTGCTAAGATTTAGAGCTCAAACACAACATATGTGGATGTATAGTACTTCTGTTTAAAATATTTTAAATAATACTCTACTGAATGTTAATTCTAGCTGGCATACTTGCCCTGCTGGAGGAACCAGAGCCTGAAGTTAAGGTAGGTGGATACAACATACAGCGATCTCATGTGTGTGTATGCTCGTGTGTGTGTGTGTGTGTGTGTGTGTGTGTGTGTGTGTGTGTGTGTGTGTATATGCTCATGTGTGTGTGTGTGTATGCTTGTGTGTGTGTTATAGTGACAGGCCAGTG